TGTCCAAATTGAGCACTCTATCTAGGATGAGTCATTGCCGTTGCAATTGCGCATGCTCGCTCGTTTACTCTAGTTTGAGCACTCTGGCATGGCTTAGAGGATACCACAAAGGTTGGGCCGTTTGGGGTGACCGTCTCCGTTCTCCCCCATCCTGGCCTCAGCACTGCACTGATGAGGCCCAGAAGGCCGAAACAGTACTGGCTGCAGTTAGATATAGCTCTTTGGCATAAAAAGCTTAGCTCTCATGTCCAAATTAAGCACTCTATCTAGGATGAGTCATTGCTCTTGCAATTACGCATGCTCGCTAGTTTACTCTAGTTTGAGCACTCTGGCATGGCTTAGAGGATACCACAAAGGTTGGGCCGTTTGGGGTGACCGTCTCCGTTCTCCCCCATCCTGGCCTCAGCACTGCACTGATGAGGCCCAGAAGGCCGAAACAGTACTGTCTGCAGTTAGTTATATATATATAAATATAGGAAAAATATTGTAGTACACGAGGATGGACAACTTCGAGCTAAGAAAGACATCTACTCAAATAAAAAGTCTAAGGAAGTTTAATAAAAACGTTTCGGCCCGAGACCTTCATCATCTCAGTCTCCATACAATAAGATCCTTTCACAATTCTCCACAAGAAACAGGCTGCCTGGATGCTAGGAAGTGGGCTGGTCATAGGCAGACTAAGCATTACTTGACAGAATGTGCGCTGGGGATTATTGCTTGTTTTGAAAGAAATAATGATTTTTGCGAGATTGCAATTTTTTTCTACAATAATTTCAGCAAGTTAAAGGCACATTTTTCTATTTTCATATTTTCAGTCTTTATACAGAGGTGAATGCAAACCACAACTGTAAAAGTTTTGTGGCTTGGTAACTTGCATTATTTTTGATGGAAGTACTAGCTTAAGGCTTCCCTGTGTTCTCTTCTCAGAAAAGATAGTTACCATCCAAGAAAAAGAAACACAATCATGGTAAGTTTTAAGCCAAATGGGAGCTATTGGATTAACCATCCTTCACCATTAAAATGGTTTTGCAATGCAGAATAAGCATGATGAAACTCAGCTTACGTAACTATCACTAACTATTTTGCACCCTATGTGGGAACTTAACTCTCTCACAGAGTCTTCATCCTCAATAGATCATTTCAAAATGTTCTTATGGTGTCCATTTAATCTTCATAATCATGCATCCAAATCTTTGCATTGTGTCTCTCTCATAGTGGGTATTATCTAATTTATTAATTACTTTTACTACAATTCATTCTTTCATGCATATTTTAGAGAATTTAATACATATTTGCATCTTTCACTGAATTTTACAGATCATATCATGCCCTTTGTATATTCATACTTTGTTCAAGAGTTAATAAATATCAGTTCAAGAATTAAAGAATTGAATTCTCTGCAGTCTTCCATACACAGTAGCAGCTATTAGTGTGAACAGACAAGTTTGTTTTCCTTGCAATGACAAAAGTACCTACTACTAGCTTCAAGTACACTCTAAATGAAGATCTTTACAGTACTGAACATGGGGTTTGAAAATTGGGAAATATCATATTACATGGGGGAATATTTATAAATATCATTTGATGGATTTTTTCCCCCATTTTCATTGGCTGGGAGCTAGCCCACCACATGACCTGCAAA